GTTCGTGCTGAAAGCTCTGTGTTGAAATGAATGCCGAGCTCGGCTGTTTTATCACATCATAATTAACCCTGATCATTTGGAGCCCATTAAAGAAGAAACTGGTAATTAAAACTACTCAAATGGAAAATGTATGTGGGGCCGAATATGTGTTGTGGCTCCTTCAGTTCTTCAAGAGACTCCTCAAAACTGGAAATAATAATGTAAAACACTTGTGACGCTGTTATAATTTTAACAACATAATAAATTGCAGTTCATGGTAGAAAAACATGGCAGTAAATGTGTCAATCCCACCGTTTCTTTTCCCTCAGACCTGTTTTTTCTCAATTTCACATCCAAGAACACTCCTCTGATTTTAGGCCAAGAGAAGCGTCTTCAGCTGTCCGTATGTTTTCTCATCACAGCCCATGGATGAGCCTAAACTTTTTCAAACAGTGACTCATCCTTTTCACACAGATCAACACCTCATATTTTTTTCTTTCTTCAGCAGCATCTCTGCAATCACAAGCACTCTTTGCAAGTACATGCATACTTACAGAGGGCTTTCTCTCCCGTCAGGCTTCACTTCTAATCAGTTTCTGCAGTCATTTGCATAAAACATGAACATGTTAAGAATCTAATCAATATTCCTGGTTTAGCTGAAAGATAAAGAAGTTTTTTTTTTCTTTACCTCTGCCTCCTGCCTCATGAATATTCACTCTTCCCGTTATGCTAATTTAGATCAGCTCAGCTTGAAGAGAAGACCTTATAATTAGTTGAAGAAGTTGAACGTTCAAGTTTGAAAAGTTGAAGCAAGACATTTAGCGTGTGAACTGTAAAGCATCTCACAGGATGTATGTCATTGAAACTTTAGTGGGCGTAAATCAGGGCTCCTGAGAAACGTCACACCCTTAGCTGGTATGTGAGGTTGAACAGTGCCAATGTTGGGCTCACCCCACGCACACAATGTTGGCTCCAGAACCCAACTGGACCATCTCTTGCTCTGGAGTTGCCCATGGGGTAGGCATTGTGTTGGCGTGAGGATACTCACAAGTCTGTGGCTGTCTCTTTGTAGCTTTGAGCTGCAGGAGGAAAGGTTCTGACGGTTGTTAACACATACGCACCTAGGACCCAGCCTTCTTGGATGGTGTCCTAGAAAAGATGCCATCTAGGGATTTCGTTATTCTCATGAGTGATTTCAGTGACAGTTACCTGGAGGGGTATGACCAGGAGGAACAACCCCCAATCTGGTTCAGAATGTTGTTCTAATGTTCGGCTTACTTTTGTGCAAGGGACAGTGTTGAGTGTCCAATATGAACCATCCATATTCGTTATGCATGTAACATGCATCAGCATATTTGTTATCTTTACCCACTTCTTCCTTTCTGGGTCGTTGATGCCTATGTTCAGCAGTCACTGTGTGAGAGGTGGGATACACCCTGGACAGGTCTCCAGTCCATCACAGGGACACATAAAGACAAACAAGCATTCACTCTTTCACACACCTAGGGACAATTTAGAGTTACCAATCAGCCTAACATGTATGTTTTTTGGGGCTGTGGAAACCGGAGTACCCGGAGAAAACCCATGCATGCACGAAGAGAACATGCAAACTCCATCCAGAAAGGTGCCAAGCTAGGATGTGAACCAACAACCTTTTCGCTGAGAGGCAACAGCTCAATTAACTGAGCCACTGTGCTGCCCCAATATAAACCAAATTGAATAATTGGAATGTTAATAATGTGTGTTCATGTTTTGGACCCCGCTATGCATTTTTCTAAACTTGGACTCACTGTGGGTTTAGAACTAGGCCACCTTGTGTCAAAAGTTAAGGATTGACTTCATAATCATATCATTAGACCCGCAACCTTATGTGTTGGATATGTGAGTGAAGAAGGGACAGAGCTCTCAGCTTATTACCACCTGGTGCGGGGTTGGATTAGGTGTCAGGAGAGGTAGCTGAGGGAGGTTGGGGATGTAAAATCGTAACGGGCCATGTTCCACTGCCGGTGCAGCTTACAGTACATGAGACGTGTCCAGAAGGTCATTGGTGGCTGTTGTGATGACAACAGAAGGACTTGTTGGTGAACTTCAATGGTAATGGAGGCTATAAAGCAGTATCAGAGGACAGTGATCACAGGTGGTCAAAAGAGCTGCTGCTTCTGCGGTAATGGAAGCAAAAGCTTGGACACTGGAGGGATTCAGAGAAGCCATGGGAAAAAAAAAAAAAAGTTCAGTTGGCCTCTAGGTAGTTCTGGCAAATCAATCAAAATCACAAAGCAGGGCTTGTTGCAATCTATTCTGGATTTGGGTGTAAAATTGCAAACCTAGACTCGGAATATTGATCAACAATAGAAGGAACATTTTTGAGAACCTCCTTAGTCAGGCCACCAAGCCCACTACTGAAGAGGCAGACTTTGGTGACTTAGCCTAGTACCTTAGAAAAGGTTGCCAACATATTTTGAAAACTTTGGTGACAGACAGGTTACAAGGAGTAGACAAGATAGCAGTGTTTGCCTTTGCAGTCCATAAGTGTCTTGTGGCCCTTGAGAAGGTTTAAACCTGCATTCCCTGTGGCATTTTGTAGAGTTGCTACAGGAAAATGGAGTCCTGCTGTCCTTTTTGCAGACCACCAAGTCTCTGTAACCAGAGCAAGGCCTGTACTTTTATTCTCAGCAAGCCATTTCTTCCTTGATTTTGGTGCAGGTTGTATTCCACTAAAGCTGCCTCTCATCCCGGATCCTGTTTGGGATGTTTCTGGGCAGGATCTCAAGGTGTTGTAGATAGAAGGGTGTCATCCAGGAGGGGAATGAGTCAGGGTACAGGACTCAGGTAGAGAACATTATAACATATGGAGAGAAGAGCAATCACATCCTCAATACAGACAAGACCAAATAAATCATATTGGACTTCAGGAAGAACCCTCTTCCATTACAGCCTCTCATCATTAAAGGAACTGAGGTAGGGAGGGCTGACAGCCAAAGATTCTTTGGACTGCAGGTTACATTGGACCTGAGCTGGTCTCAACACCACAGCCACAGTGAAAAATGCCCAGCAGAGGCTTTACTTCATTAGTCTGTTCACGAAAGTGGGTCTGAACCAGCACCCTCTCACCTAGGCCTGATAGAGTATCCTAACCACTGGCATCACCGTCCGGTATGGAACACCACACACGCAGAGAGGAAGGTGTTGCAAAAAGTCATAAAGCCTACGGAGTGGATACAGTGACTAAACGTCCTTCCATGGACTCGATGTATGGACAGAGCTGTTTAAAAAGAGCTGCTGGAACCATCAAAGACTCACTCCATCCAGCTCACTCTGTTATCAGACGCAAAAAATGTTCATAACCTGAGACACAGTAGAACGGATAGCATCATCATCCATAGTTCACGTTTTAAAATAGTTTTTTTTCCCTGTCACAGTCAGACTGATGGCAAAACAAAACTACTGATCAGGTGCAATAATAACCCCACACTACCTAACTTCACTTGTCATGTGACACGGTTTACTTTATGTTCAGTGTAGATATGAACCACTTTCTTCTTATTTTTATTTTATTTAGTGTTGTTTCAGTGTTTATGACTATGACTGAGAGAGCTCTGCACAATAATTCCAATGTGCCTGGATTGTTGGTCTGTGCACAAATGGCAAATAAAGAACGTTGTACCTTTTGTCTGGTTTGGGAACCTCAGATTACTCATGCATCCATTATCTTTACCCGCTTATTCCATTTTGGGTCACGGGGGTCGCTGGTGCCCATGTCCAGCAATCACTGTGCGAGGGGCGGGGTACACCCTGGACGGGTTGCAAGTCCATCACAGGGCCCCTCAGATTACTCATACATGCATTTAAAGAGCAGTCTTATCATCCTGTCCTGCTTCTGTACTCTTAGTAAATGTTAGTCCCACAACCACTCTTCTGCTTTTGGGTCTTCATAGTGGAAAACATGTGTCCAGTGTTGGCTTAATTTCTTACATTGTCCTTCTGTTTGACACTAAATTGAAAATGAGAGCAGGATTTCAGACTAAGACTATAGAGTACACCGGTAAACTGCCAGAGCTGGGTATAAATGGTAAATGGACTGTACTCGTATAGCACCATTCTATTCTATTAAGATACTCAAAGCACTTTACAACACAATCTGTGCCCTTATGTACCCATTCATACAACACTCTACTATATCTATACAAATAATAATCAGTGCTTTAGTATTTTTTTGTTCTGTATTCCTATGTTTGTAATGTTTTTAATTAATTTTTCAGTATTATCATTAGTGTTATTTTTTCCATTAATTTTACTCTCAATGATGTTATTGTTAAGCACTTCTGTTTTAAATGCGCTCTGTAAATAAAGTTGACTTGACTTGGCCACATTCATACACCGATGGGGCACACATCAGAGGCAATGAGGGGTTCAGCATCTTGCCCAGGGACACTTCTGCATGTGACTGCTGGTGGAATTGAACCCCCAACTCTTGCATTGAAGGACGACTGCTCTAACCACTCAGCCACAGCCGCCCCGTGCTGGTATAAAGGTCCATAAAGCAAAATGAGCTGCAGATTCAGGCGCTAACGTTCTAATTACTACAAGATACCTCTTTCATTTGCTTGTAATTCCACAGTATTTTAATAAACATGGATTTCAGCCACTTTAAACTTACTGGTAGGAGTTTTTTTTTTCTTGCCCGGTTTATTAACAACTGAATTTGAAATAAAGTGGAATGTAAAAGCCTTTATTTTTAAAAGAGAGAAAATCAGAGTGCAAAAAGTGGAAAATGTACTGTAAAATGTAATGTAATGGAAATTTTTGTAACAACTCCTGTTGTGCACATGTCCCCACTTCACCTCAAAGCACTTTCCCGTGTAACGCAACAGTTAACTGTAATGTTTATAATAAAGCAGCTTTCACTGGGAATTTCTGGCGTCTTGGAAAGTTTACGCGCCCTCACTCCCAGACTGAAACAAACCCTCAGACTGAGCTTTGTGCGCTGCCACATCGAAAGGGAATCAAAAAGGGGTCAGAAAATGCTGCTGGTCTTGCTGCAGGTGTTGGTCGGTGTGTCCGGCGCGTTGCCTCAATGTGACCCGCGAATCAGAGGTAAGTTCGTTTCATGTTATTTCATTCTGCGTGCCGGATGTTTGCATCTGGAACTGCGTAAATCAAGCACGACATGTTTTCACATGAAAACCCTGGAGAATTCCTAATGCAAACACTGGCTTTAACGAAATCAAACTTGTCACAAGCATTTTAAAGTCCATTTGTTTTTAATTTTTAAAGAAACCTAAAGTTTGAAGACATCTTGAAAACAATTGTTGGTGTTTATGGTGATCTGTTAATTGCCAGGGGCTATCAAAAGGCTGTCCCAGTTGACTGAGAGCTTTTCAGCTTTATTATATAAAACTTAAAATTCCCTATAAGACTGACTTGTGGATGAACTTTTCCCTATGAAGACTTTTAAAATACTGTAGTTGGTAAATGTTAGAATATTCTGTGGCCACATTGAGGATTTTACAGAAACTATTGTGCCATCTAGTGTCTGCCTCTGTGTAATAACGATGATTCGTCTTTGCAGGACTGTGCAAGCCAACAGTGCAAGAAAAGCGTAAGTACCCTCCGGCTCAAAGGAAGGATGGTGTCATGTGTGGGCTGTTTGTCATCCCTACCTTATATTGAAGCAGCTCATCACGCTGGGCTGTTTAATTTTTAATGGTACCTTTTTTGGGCCTTTGAACCTACAGTATAATCTTGTGTCACAAGAAAAATACAAAATTCGAACCTTCAAGTTCAAACCCCGTCTCCTCTGCCAATTGTGGGGATTCGAATGAAGCAAGTTGTGTCTTTAACAAACAGGATGAGTCCACAGTTCTGATTTAATTTGTCCTCAGCCATCACGCCCCATGAGTATTTTTAGATGATCCATGACACTATTAAATATTCAAATTTTAATTTCCACAGATAATGGAAATATTGAGGACCATATGATTGAAGGTGAAGCTCATGATTAAGTGTTGTCACACAAAGAGGTACAGCATTGAGCAAAAGCTTTAAACAACCCTTAAATTATTCAGAGTTTGCTTCTGAGGAAACAGACTGTCTTGTAATCTTTTTAAGTGGTCTTGCGTAATAGTATTCAGGGCCTTTTATAGGTCTTATAAAGTTTTTCCTTGGACAATGACTTCTTTTCAGTTCAGTACTTGATCATTTTTACAAGAATGTTTGCACTTATTTGGACCTATAAATCATTCAGATATGCAATGGCTCATGAAATGAACCAGTAGGTCTTAAATGTATTTTTCCCTCCACTTTTGGTGCTTTATCATTTCAGTCCAGTACCTGAACATTTTTAGAGAATAAAAAAAGTTTTTGTTTGACTCGTCAACAAACACTTAACTCTTTACTTATAAATCATTCAATCATAAAATACAGTAGTTCCAAACTGAAACATATTAATTCATACCTGAAAACTTTTTAAATAATTGCTAGCTAGAAATACTAGCTAACTAGTAAATTGTAATCTAATTATGTAATTTATATTTGATACTTAACTAGAAACTACTAAAACAGGCCTACTGCTACCTAGCACTTTGCTAGCTAATTAGTAATTTGCTAGCCAACTAATATTTTTTTAATATATATTTAGGTATTTTTACTGTTTTTTGTTCGTTTTTAATTTTGTACAGCACTTCGGACGGCTGCTTGTTGTATTTTAAGTGCTTTATAAATAAATTGGTATGGTATGGCAATATGCCCTAATGAGCCAAATGTCCATTAAATGCGTAACTACACTACCTAATGCTGACATGCCTGCTAGTTAGCTAGTTCTTTGCTATCTACCTAATAAATTGCTTCCAAATAACTTTAATACTAGCAACTAGCAACAAAGATGCAATAAAAATATGTATGAAATTGAAAAATACTAAAAACAGCCCAAAGTTTGACAAATGTACATTAGGATTTCTGCCTCAACAAGAAGATGCTCAAAGAGCAGTTAGCTAAAAACCTGACAACATTAGCTTACTGTTAGGTAGCTGTAAGCTAAAAACCTGATGTTAGCTAACTGTTAGCTAGGTGTAGGCTAAAAACCTGACGTTAGCTAATTGTTAGCTAGCTTTAGGCTAAAAACCTGACGTTAGCTAACTGTTAGCTAGCTGTAGGCTAAAAACCTGACGTTAGCTAACTGTTAGCTAGCTGTAAGCTAAAAACCTGACAACATAAGCTTAGTTAGTTCTAGAATTGTGCCGCTCCAGGTGGCTGCATGTTGGAGCAGCTCTGTTGCTTTCATTCTGATATTTTGCTTTTGGAAACTTTAATTCCTCTTTTTCTGGATGTAAATCACATTTTTTGGATGATTGTTTCCTCTGGTATCAGACGCTGTGCAGCTGGAAGGATTTTTACTGAAACTTTTTTAGTTTGGGACATTTGTTATGATGCGTAACCATGGCAACAAGACAGTTTTCTACAACCAACAGCAGCTGATTAACATCTCAAAAGATCAAATAATATCTCAACTACAGCCTCAAATCTCAAATGAGTTGAAAAGGATGTTCTGTGGATGCACTCCCATCTACCTGCCGACTGTGCTCGAGTGCCTGACCACTGAGATCCTGGAACTAGAAGGAAACACGGCTCATGACAGCAGAAGGACAGGATCGTCCCTCTGCACCTACAGTTGGCTGTCCGCAGTGACGAGGAGCTCGGCAGACTGCTGGAGGAGTGGCCATTGCTCGGGGGGGGGGGGGGGGGGGGGGTTCTGCCCGGCATTCAGACGGTCCTACAGTCTGGGGAAACCGAGAGGCCAGCCGAGTCTGGGTGGACGGATCAGACGGCATCTGCAGCCAGTTTCTTAGGATCCACTGTGGGATGGACCTTTGCAACAGATCCTTCCTGTCTACAGCCATCAGCATCTATAACATCTCTTAATGAATTGAGGAAGGAGTTACAACAACAAACAATTTCCATTTGGGATTAATAAAGTATTTTTGAACTCAATTGAATTTTGAATTGAATTGAATTACTGTTAGGTAGCTGTAGGCTAAAAACCTGGCGTTAGCTAACTGTTAGCTAGCTCTAAGCTAACCTGACATTATCTAACCGGTTAATTTGAGCCGGATCCTGCTGCAACATGATAAGGGAACTATTATTTTGAACTGGTGTGTTCTGGTAACTGCGTGGATCTGGTAACTCTCAGGCTTACTAATTATAAAGTTATGAACAAATATGGCTGCCTTGAATGAATAAAATTTATTGGATATATAATTCAAATTCAAAAATACTTTATTAATCCCAAAGGGAAATTATTTGTTGTTGTAACTCGTTATCCTCATTTTATTAAGAGATGTTATAGATACTGATGAGCTGTTTGGAGCTCTTGTAAAGGTCCATCCCACAGTGGACCCTAAGAAACTGGCAACAGATGCCGTCTGATCCGTCCACCCAGACTCAGCTGGCCTCTCGGTTCCTCTGGGCTGTAGTACCGCCCAAATGCTGGGCTGAACTCCTCCTAGCAGTCTGCCGAGCTCCTTGTCACTGCGGACAGCCAACTGTAGGTGCTGAGGGACGATCCTGTCCGTCCACTGTCATGAGCCGTGTTTCCTGCTAGTTCCAGGATCTCAGTGGTCAGGCACTCGAGCACAGCTGGCAGGTTGATGAGAACGCGTCCACAGAACATCCTTTTCAACTCATTGGAGATTTGGCACTGTAGTTGAGATATTATTTGATCTTTTGAGATGTTAAACAGCTGCTGTTGGTTGTAGAAAACTGCCTTGTTGCCATGGTTACGCATCATAACAAATGTCCAAAACTAAAAAAGTTTCAGTATAAAACCTTCCAGCTGCACAGCATCTGATACCAGAGGAAACAATCCTCCAAAAAAATGTGATTTACATCCAGAAAAACAGGAATTAAAGTTTCCCAAAGCAAAATCTCAGAATGAAAGTAACAGAGCTGCTCCAACATGCAGCCACCTTGAGCGGCGCAGTTCTAGAACTATCTACTATATAAACTGAAAATACTGTAATTACATAAACACTCATTTTAAACACAACAGCCCCTTATGACTTCTTAATATCCCATTCACGCAGACTCTCTCACTGGTACATTTTCATCTTTAAATCACTTCTTGGTCTGCTGCCTTCGTACATCTCCTCCTGTCTCTGCGTGAGTGCAGCTACAGCGTGCGCTCTCAGGACATTATTACCTGCAGTGTTCCCTCAGTGCGAACTGAACTAGGCAAAATGGCCTTCTCCTACTCCGCTCCTGTTTCTTGGAATATCTTACAAAAAAATCTGAAGCTCTCGACCTTGACCTCTCTAAGTGGCTTTAAGAACCTGTTGGACTCCTGGCAGAGACCAATGCAGATATGTTCTTGTTTTTTTTAGTTTTCTACATTCATCTTAGAATCTAGCTGTTTTTTTGTTACTTTTCTTTTCTCTTTACTTTTTTTTATTTTTTATTTGGCCATCCTAATTGTAAAAAAAAAAAAAAAGTATGACTTTTTATAACTTTATTGTTGTCTCTGTTGTCCATTGTTTTTCATCATTCTTTGTTGAAATCAAGTCTCTCTTGTAAACGAGTCCTCGAGGCTCAATGGATTTTATCTGTCCAAATAAAGGTTGAATGAATATGAGCTGCCTCTCTGCTCTTAAAAAAATCCCCACCCCTAAAAGTGTGGTGGGGGTGAGTGCTGAGCTAACCAGGCAGTCGTACGCGGGCAGGAGCCCACAGGCAGCCACCATGAACAGATGGAGGAGGCGCCTGGAGGATTCACATGTGGAGTCGGACGGTGAATTCAGCGGGGAAGAGTCGGCTCGGAAATATCAAGCAAGGGGGAAGTGGGATGCTTGACAGAAGCGGAGTGTTTACAAGTAAACGCAGATGTTTAACAACCCGTTGAAATACACCAAAATGCAGGAAATTGTATGTACTTCAATCAAAATTTTCTGGGGGAGGACCCCCAGACAACAACAGATGCTCCACTGAAGGTCGATTCGTCTCTCAGGTTCTGTGTCTGGTCTTTGCTGAGATTATTCCTTGCTCTTAAAGATTTTAAGATATTTTTCTTCTGCTGTAGGTACTTTTTAGGTCGAACACTTCTTATTTTCTCCATTTGTCCAAAGCATAAACTGCACATGTCATGGTGAAGTTCTATGACTCAGCAGAAAAAAGCAGCCAAAGTTAAACAACAACAACTTTAAAAGATGATCAGACCTTCTGAAGAAGTACTGATTAAACACACAACATATTAGCAGTGGTTAAAACGGGTTTCTCATTTGTTTCGTGACCAATGTTTTAAATATCCTTAATCTGTCTAAATGTTGTGATTTATTTTTCTACTTCAGCCAAATGTGCAGATTTAGTGCTGTCCTACTGTGAGGACATGGCCTACCCCCAGACCATGTTCCCAAACATCCTCGGCCACAAGACCCGTAAGGATGCAGAGGCCAGCGTGGAGTACCTCCTCATCAGCGTGGCTGACTCTCTGCTCGGTGGCCAGTGTAACCCTGAGATACGCATGCTGGCCTGCTCGGTGCTGACCCCACGCTGTGAGAGGAACGCAGTGCTGAGACCCTGTCGAAGCGCATGTGAAACCGCGCACAAAAAGTGCCGAAACGCTTTCGATGAGATCGAGATGGCTTGGCCCTACTTCCTGGATTGTGACAGATTCTTTGCCAGCGATGAAGAGGAATGTTATGACCCACTAGAAGGCCTCAAAGGTAAGGACAGAATGACGTCTTCTGCTGTGCTTGAACCTCTAATTCACGCAGCCTAAGCTTTTGGTTTAATAAAATGTTTTTCCACATATTGTTCCACGGACAGGAATGTTTTTTTTTTTTTTAATTAAGCTTTTGACAACCATGTTTTTGTAGAGCAATGATGCAGTAGTCTATGCTGACAGGCCTACTTTAGCTTTGTGGACTACACGCCACAAAAGTTAATGTTGGTTTTTCTATGTCTGACTTGCTTTGTTCTAATTCCGTAACAGGAAATTAAAAAAAAAAAAATACTGACTGACGGGAAATGGTAGATGGCATCAAAATAAAAAACAAATACAGAGTTCAGAACGTTCTTTTTTTACATTTTATTGCCATTAATGTCAACACATTGACACCTATTAGAGAGGCGTGGATCCTTCAACACTTTCAGTTTTTTCTTGACTGAACTTAGACGTTTTTTAATGCAGAGGAAAAATAGCCCCAGTTTCTGGAGTATTGGAGCCAGGGCCTTAAACCTGGATCTCACTGGGCTACAGCAGTTTGTGACAAACTGCGAACGGCATTCAGAGACAAAAGACTTGTGTGAATCCTTATAAAACATTGAGATGCTTTTTTGTTTTTTTCCCCACTTACATTTTTTGGCAGATAAGTTGTTCCATATATTTTGTGCCATTTCAACAATTCATACACCAAAGCGTTCAGCTCATTCGGGACATTACTGATGTGACTTTTTGTATTTCTACAATTTAAATTTAGAAATATTTAGCTTTTTTTGGCCACGTTTTTCTCATTGACAGTGAACAGGGCTCTCCATATCATTCAAACACTTTGAGCTGTTTAAATCTATTAGCTGATGTTCTGGCTCAGCGTTTTCTGATAATTTCAGTCATTTTTCTGCTCCTTTTAGATTTTTGTGCTCATTTCAGCTTTTTTTATAAACAATTTCTTTGAGCTAATTTTAGCTTCTTTTGTTTTTGTCAGCTACTTTTTAAAATATTTTTTCTGTTGATTCAAGGCCTTTTCTGCTATATATTTTTTATTGTTCAAATTCTCCACCTTTTGTGCTTCTAATAATTTAAAATATGCTCCTTTGAGCAACTTTTCAGCAAATTTCAGTATATTATGCTTATTTTTAGCTCATTTTAAAGTATTTATCTGTTAATGGTAGCAACTTTTCCTGATATACACACATTTATTTCTTTATTTCTGCCTTTTGTGCTTCTTTCTAATAATTTAAGCTTTTTCTACTTCTTTCAACTACTTTTCTGCAGCTTTTTCAGCTGCTTTGCAGTTATTTTCAGCTTCATGTGCTATTATTTATATTGCTGCTCTCAGCAAACTTCAGCTCTTTAAATTCATCTCACATCAACAGTTTAGCGATTAAAGTTTCAGCGTGTTTGCAGTCTCTTCAAAAACTTTCAGCCAAAATCCTTCAGCATTGAGCATTCACACTGAATTTTCACAGGAAAGGCTATTTCTCTTGTTTTTATTGCAGTCTCACCTAAACATAGCCTTTGCTAAACGACTAGCACGTCTCGGGGTCACATTTTGCACATCAGTTTTAAAAAACTGTTTGTGGTCATACACATTATTTTATTGTTCACGTTCGCCTGTATCGTACCCCCCCAGGCCCGATTAGTACCAACTTTGGCAGCCGCCACCAGTTTAGTCTGAGTCTGCTGAAGTAACCCTTTTGAACGAAGACAGGCTAATTGGGACGAGTGTTTCAATCGGTGTTATTCATCACCAGCATGGTTTTTACACCTGAGTGTCAGAGGTAAGATCCCGTAAAGGTGTCAAAATGCAGCTCTGGAGATGAGAGACGCTCGCGACGATTCTATGACGATTTCAAGACATCGGTTTGTCGTGGAAAAAAGCGATTCCCAAAACGATCAGGCGTAAACTTCTTCATATTTATTCACAAAGCTTCGGAGAACAGTCGACAATCACTGAAGATCAGTCTGACCTGTTCTGACTTCCCTAACTGAAAAGGTTAGTTTAAAAAGGAGCAGGCACAGCTGTAGTTCTTCATGCATCAAGTATAATTATGGAGCATGATGAGTGCAAAAATACACACTACCTCCACAGGTTGTTGCACAGTTTGCTTGAACATGTTTGACTCAGAAGACTTAGCTGAACCACCATGAACATGGCGAGGCGTTGAGGAGACTCCCTCATGAAGGCCAGAGACCAGCTAGTCTCATCTCATGTCTTTAGGTGACCTATGAGACCAAACTGTGTCTGACCAGAGACAAAAAAATAAAATATCACTTATAGACATTTTGTGACTAAAAAGCAATTTTTGTGTTGTTTTGGGCCAATTTGTTGTCTTTTAATGTTAAAATCTGTGTTTTTCTTTCTTTTATGTCCTTTTAAGGCCACGGTTTCTGAAAGTGAACAGCTCAGGGGCTGGACACCCAGCAATTAAAGTCATTATGTCAATAAAACAAGTATTACAATCATATGTTACCTTTTAAATGTGTTTGTTTAATTGCATTGAATCATAAATGAAATGACTAGAACCCAAAACCCAGTCCCAGAACCACTCCACCCATCCCAAAAAAAAAAAAAAAAAAAATGTGGGGGGAGGAGGGGTAGATGCTCACAACTGTCACATCATTCTATGATGATTTAAAAAAAAAAAAGTGCATGTAAAAACTGTGTGTATATTTATATATATATATATAATTTTTTTTTTAATGAAGTGTGCCAGACAGAAGTCACCCACTGGCCGGAAATGGCCCGAGGGCCACCAGTTGAATAACTCTGGTCTGGTCTAATGAGATACAGGCTTAAAAAAAAAATAATAAAAAACGTCACAAAGTATTTGTTAATTTCTCACGTGTAAAGTGCAGACAACAGTGAAATTCTGTAAATATTTCTGGTTGTTTGATCTCATTTTTAGCCAAAGTGCTTTTTTATTTATTTATTAAATTTACGACAGACAGCTCAGACCTGATGGCTTCAATCAGTTAGATGTTAGCCGAAGCAGAAACACAATGACAGCTTTCACAGTTTCAGAAGAGCCTAAGGTTTAGGAAATATTTTCTGTGAAGGCGCGCGGTCCACATGTGGCTCAGCTTTTTCTCCCAACATCAAACTGAACGCAGACGTTGTCGACAGCTGGTTTTTATTGGTTTTATTAGCAGTGTGACTTTGTCGACAATCTCTGGATCCGTTTTCTTAAAGTGTTTATTAAGACGTTCCTAAAATCATAAAGTGAATGCAAGTTTTTAGGCATTAAAAAGTATTTCAGAAAAGCATTAACCAGATAGAAAATCTAAACAGAAAAAAAATAATAATCAGAGTATTTCTTTATTTTATCTGGCCATCAAAAATCAGCAAACACACGGGGAGTTTTGTTTAGTTAGGCAGCAGATATCAGACTTCAGATTTCTGCAGATCTTTCCATCGTGGTCTTTAAAAAAAAAAAAAAAAGAAATCTGTTATTTTTTTTGTTTTAAGTCATTCAGCTCTTTTCTGGCTGTGAAACATGGTAACATATCTGTAACCACAAATAAAAAGCACAAATTCGTTGAAAAAGCTTTTATAAAAAGTTGGAATATGCTAATATTTTAGCACAAGGGCAACAAAAATGGTATACATTTTTTAAATGTAAATATTGTTGAATTAAAAGATTAAAAAAATTAGTTTTAATGTAGAAATATTTGGAAGCACAAAAGTGCCAAAAAACAAAAACCCCCTTTGTTTAACGGCTGATTAAAATTGTAGAACTAAACAAGAAAACGTATATTTAAAACAAACATAATGTTTTTCATACAGGTAATGTGACATTAAATTAAATATCACCCAATAAATATTTACTGTATATTTTATACTTACTACAAATGACAATGTTTTGTAAAATGGAATTTAAACAATTTATTTATATAAATTGCCTTTTAAACCCCCTCGTTCATTTAATCATGCCATATATAAAAAAACAAAACTTGTTTCTAGTTATTTTCCTACAACTTTTCCAAATTTCTCTTTTTTGCACTTTTTTTTTTGTAGAGGTCTTTCAGAAATGCCATATTCCAATAAGACAAGTCTCACAGATTACATTTATCTACCGCATTTTTCAGACTATAAAGCGCACTGGATTATAAAGCGTAATATCAATGAACGGGTCTGTTTTCATACATAAGGTGCACCTGATTATAAGGCTCACTGTCAATTTTTTTTTTTTAGAAAATTAAAGGATTTTAAGTGCAACTTATAGTCCGAAAAATACAAAACGTTCACACAGAAGAACTGAAATAGTTGATTTTGGTCTTTTTTCCTGCAGAGCGGGAGGCAGAGGAAGAGACAGACATGGATGCTCCTCCTTTTGAAGAACCTTCTGCATCAATACAGTTTACTTACCACTCCAACGCTCAGATGTTCAGCGTCTTAAAGAAAACCGAGGATCGGTGCGCCGACATCGCCAGAACCTACAGCATCGGCCGCAGTTTGGAGGGCAGGGAGCTGCTGGTGATCGAGTTTTCAAACAATCCTGGGGAACATGAGCTACGTGAGTTTACCTCCACTTCCTTATTCTCATATTAAAGTAGGCTCACACTCACTGGAACCCTGTGCAGTGGAGCCAGAGGTGAAATACATTGGAAACATGCATGGAAATGAAGTCGTGGGCCGCCAGCTGCTCATATACCTGGCGCAGTACCTTTGCTCCGAGTATCTGAAGGGAAACGAGCGCATTCAGACCCTCGTCAACACAACCCGTATTCACATCCTGCCCTCCATGAACCCTGATGGATATGAGGTGGCTGCATCTGGAGCCAATGACGACACCTACGGTGATGATGAGGTAACAAATACAAGGGTTTTCACATTTATTGTGCTACACTTTACGTCATATTTATATGTAGATTATACCACGTGTTGTCGAATGTTACATACGTTATAATGTGAGTGGAGAGCAAATAGGAAGCATGAATGTAGTCACATAACGATTGGCATGCTGCTTGTTTTGAGCAAATAAAATCATATATTTGATCTTAAGACGTCATACAATAAGTTTCTTCTATCTTATTTTGACACAAGTGAGAGTAACTGTTCAGTTACGGTTTACTCTGTCTGTCCGCCAGTCCATCAATTTTCTGTTCTTCATTTGTGGTTGGGTTGTGGAAGCAACATCCATCCATCCATTATATTTTATCCGCTTCTTCCTTTTTGGATCGCGGGAGTCACTGGTGCCCAGTGGTGTAGTCTATATTTCTGTAGTGGGTATACTGTGCTTAGAAACCAAAGTACACCGGTTAGTACAATGTAATCGTCAATTTATTTAGATTTTTAAGCAAATTGGACATTTCCAAATTTCTCTGATGCTTATATTTGAATAAATGAACAACAAACTCTGTACAACAGTTGGCTTTGTATTAAAAACATTATAGAATTTATAAAACAGTTTCAAAGCGAAACATGTTCAAATATTAAGTACTGTAGTAAGTACAGAAGTATTAATTATACAATAATTTGCTGGATAAGTGAATGTAATAAACAAGCGATGCATACAGACAGGTTGCTACGGAAACGTTTAACTGCCGTTTAACGTATCAATGACGTGTGCCTAACGACATGTCATGTATCAGTGGGTACTTTTCAGTGGGTATACTGAAATTCTCACGCTTTTCTAGTGGGTATATTCTGTATACCCGCATATCACGTAGACTATGCCACTGGTCCGTGTCCAACAGTCACTGTGCGAGAGACGGAGGACACCCTGGACAGGTCTCCAGTCCATCACAGAGACAAACGAGACAAACAACCATTGCATGTTTTTGATCTGTAGGAGGAAACTGGAGTACCTGGAGAAAATGTACTCATGCACTGAGAAAACATGCAAACCGCCCAGAAAGTCTCCCGTCCAGGATTCGATCTGGCGACCTTCTTGCTGAGAGGCAGCAGCTCTACCAACTGCGCCACCATGTGGAGGCAGCATGTTTTAAGGACAATCCAGATCTCCTTCTCTCTGGCACCTCTTGGGGGATTTCCAAGGCGTCCTCATGCCAGCAAGAATACATGATCCCTCCAGAAATTTCTGGGTTTGTCACAGGGTCTCCTCTCATATGGACGTCCCTGAAATACCTCCTTAGGGAGGTGACCATGCATCTTAGAAGATGCCTGAACCACCTCAGCTGACTCTTTTTGATGAGGAGGAGCAGCGACTCTACTTTGAGCTTACACTCAATTTATATTTAAGGCTGAGCCTGGACACCCTACAGAGGAAGATCAGTTCAACCTCTTACGTCAGTCTATCATTTTAGATCCACACTTCATGTCCGTAGATGAGGGTTTGAACGTAGACTGACCCATAAATCCAGAGCAGTGCCTTTCAGTTCTTCCCCACACAGACTGGCACAGCCCAGCCCCAATCAGTTGGTCCAACACTTGTTTCATTCTGCCATCGCTCAAGAACAAGCACCAAGATACTTGAACTCCTCAACTTAAAGCCATGACAACCAATCCAGAGGGAGCAATCCACTGGTTTCCAGACAAGAACCATGGTAGACTCAGAGGAGCTAACTCATATCAATTAAAAATGATCAAGCATGTGGCTAGTTGGTAAATTGTACGAAGCTGTTCTACAGTTTTCTTAAAAACTAACTTTTTTAATCTTCAGGGACACAGACATGGCTCTTGGAACATCGGCCGAAACAACGCCCAGAACATTGACTTGAACCGAAACTTCCCCGATTTGACGTCCATCGTTTACAGACGACGCAGACAAAGGAGCTTTCGCACCAACCACGTCCCAATCCCATACAATTACTGGTTTGATAAGGTACTGAATGAATCCTTACGGCCTAAAAGACGACAATGTTTCAGAACTTCAGAATTCATCTCAACTGAATTTGTAAGTTGAGGATTCTTTAAATGTTGGATTTTAGGTTGCGCCAGAGACGTATGCTGTCATGAAGTGGATCCGCTCCATCCCGTTTGTGCTCTCTGCTAACTTCCACAGCGGGGACCTGGTGGTGTCCTACCCCTACGATCTGTCCAAACATCCACATGGACACAGCATGCTGTCCCCGACACCAGACGATAAAGTAAATGAACTCTTTGGATCAAAACATACTGAACCAACAAGGCACCCAGTGGAAAATACATGTTGATGTCCAACAGCTGCAACTTTAGTTTAGATCTTTTGACGTGCGGTTCAGAGGAAAGGTTAAAAACAACTAAAACATATCGGAATAAATTTTGAAGGGTGCTCTAAATTTCAAAATCAGCTTTAGAATAATCTAAGTTCTGAAAACAAGCTTCAGTTTTGATGTCTGATCTGTACAAGAAGTGTTGCGAACCAAGATAAGGAGCAGTACTAAAGCTGGTAGCAGTAGCTCACTATGCTCACCATGATAACTATGTATGACAACTTAATAAGAGGCAGACCAAAACACAGACTGAAAAATGAGCGTCAAACAAAATGTCGTGGGAAAACTGTATGTATCTTAAAAATGCTCTGAATCGTGAGCAGTAGAAGACGTTGACGGTCACACACGTGAACTTTTTTGTTTCTACTGGGGTGGCGATATATCAAGTAAAAAATACGGTTTACTTCTACCGTATTTGTCGCCGTACGCGTTGCACTGTCGTATAAGTTGCATCAGTCTGACTATGTCTAATAAAGTGGAAAAAAACAAATATGTCGCTGCGTCGTATACGTTGCATCTATTATGCATCAACGCTGACCACCCGGAAATGTGGGCTGGTGTTGTGCCAAGAATCGATTGGCTGCTAAATGGCGGCTGCAGGAACGTGCACCGGAGGACTTTAACAAGAATTTAACAAGATTAACACTTAATAACAACTATTTGTTTGCTCGAACTTATAGCAAAGGTGTTTCTCAGTTTAACTTTTTCTTAATAAATGCACTTTAACAGTCAAATCAGCTGCATTTCGCCTGGGCAACGCGGTGAAATGCAGCTGATTTGACCTTGGCATGGCAAGCCAAGTGTCTCATTAATAGCCATTTTTACCTATTAATGAGACACTTGGCTTGCCATATGGTCAAGGGCCCTCTAGCGGCTGAAAAAGGTAGTGTTCAACATTTTCCATGTCAGAATGAATGAAATCGTCAGATCTCAGCCAAAAATTGGATTATAAATATGGGGCAAAAAGTATATTAGTCGCTTCGGTGTATAAGTCGCAGGACTTGCAAATTTATGTAAAAAGGTGCGACCTATACGGCGGCAAATACGGTAGTTTTAAAAAGGAATATTTTGAGCTAAAATGTAATTGACGTCAACGGAAGCTTGGGTGTGCTCTCTCTGCACTTTCAGGGGATTTGTGAGAAGATCGTAAGTCAACAGTGAGCGACGCACGGGGTGAAAGAAGATAAAAATATCAACAAATTGATTTGTAGGTTCTAATAGTCAGAAGAGTTTGTTTGCAAAAGATCTGAACATTTTAGACAGCTCAAAAGTCAGAGTGTGACATCATGAACTGCCAGTTAGTTTTGTTGAAAAATGTCCAAAATCTGTGATTGTGTTCAAAACTGTACAAAGATATCAAAACGCCAGTTCAGACACGTAAAGTCCAAATCCAATTAAGATTTGAATTATTCTGATCCTTTACTTAATCAGGCAACCCCACTGAGATCACCGATCTCTTTATCAAGGGAGGCCCGGGCCTGAAAGCAACTTAACATGCACGTTTTGGACTGTGGAAGTAGAACCTGGAGAAAACTCACACAAACACGAGGAGAACTCTCTCCACACATAAAGGCTCCGGACCCAAACCAGGGATTGATCCCAGGACCTTCTTGCTGTGAGGCAACAGTACTAACCACTGAGCCTTAACGGTGTTGAACAACAACAAAATAGGATAAAAATAGTGAGAGAAGCCAAACAGAGTAAGGGTGTTTGTAACCTTTAATTAAAGTCTTAAGTAGGATGAGATACAAAAAGATAATTAATCTGGATAAATCTGAAACTTTTACAGTTAAAAACAAAAAAGTTCTCACTAATTTGAAGTGCAACTTTTACACTTTACACCAGTAAGACACAGCTTTGGTAGTGAGACGTGATGTGAAGCTGTAGGTCTCACACTAACAACAAACACGTGATGATGAAGCTGTGTGCTGAACTGGTTCTTGTTTTTTTAGGTTTTTAAACTTCTCGCAGGCACGTATGCAAACGCCCACAGAACAATGTCCAGTAAAGAAGCACATTGTGGGTCGTCTCGTGCAAACAACCAGAAAGGGATCATTAATGGAGCTCAGTGGTACAGCATCACAGGGGGTGAGTATATGATTTTTACCAGAGCCTCTAGAGGTCACCATAAGACCAGTTAACGATGGTGGGAATTTGTGAGGCTTCCTCATGGGGTTTGCATGTCTGGTCAGGTATGCAAGACTTCAACTATCTTCACACCAACTGCTTTGAGGTGACGGTGGAACTGGGGTGTGAGAAGTTCCCTCCTGAGGACGAACTCTTTCCGGTGTGGAACGATAACCAAGAAGCTTTGATTGCCTTCATGGAGGCAGTAAGACCTGTTCTTTTGTTTTGTGCTGACATAATGCTTGGGTACATGAAAAAATACAGAACTCCCAAGTTGTTTAATGAGAAAATTTCATGGGGAATTAAGAAACAAACATGTTTTTGTGATGTCGTCCATCAGGCTCATAGAGGAATTAAAGGTATTGTAAAAGACGAGGAGGGAAACGGGATAAAAGATGCATACATATCAGTCAGAGGAGTAAGACATGACATCATCTCAGGTAACAAGAACTGCTGATAGATGCATTAGTTCCACATGTCAATAAATAAATTATTAAACAAATGTTTGCTTTTACTAACCTTGTTTTATTCAAAAGTGGTATTTAAGAACAGTTTAAAAGGCTTTCTGTAAGTGAAGTTTTTCTTAGGATTTTGGCAGCTTTTCATTCATTTTCATGTCCAGTCCCTGAACCATATCCTTTTGTGGACTTAAAACTGTAAGAAAGTGGATGACAAAAAAGTGTTGGGGGCCCCCCCTTTTTTTTAATCTACAGCAGATGTATCTGAAAATTATGGAAGCCCATTTCTGCCATGAAAGAAAAAATAAAAGCCCAACAGGAAGTCATAATTTTGACTTTTAAAGTCATAATTACGAGAATAAAAGTCATACTTATGAGTTTTAAAGGAATAATTATGAGAATAAAAATCATAATTATGAGTTTTAAAGTAATAATTATGACTATTATTCTCGTAATTATGACTTTAAAAGTTGTAATTGTGACTTTTGTTCTTGTAATTATGACTTTAAAACTCAATTATGACTTCCTGTTGGGCTTTTATTTCATAGCGGAAATGAGCTTCGTTACTAAATGCTATATGAAGTGGTGATGAAAAGATGTATACATTACATACCTTTATTTAAAAGGATTGATGTTTGAAGGCAGAGGGACATACATTGAATGAATGAATCCATGTGCTATGCAGGAAAACTACCAATGTCTGACAGGAAGTTGCATCCCTGTAGAGTCAAGGTGTCCAGAAAGGGACAAACTTCAAAATTAAATTAGAAAAGTCGAAATTATGACTTTAAAACTCAAAATTATTACTTTTATTCTCATAATTATGATTTTAAAACTCAAAATTATGACTTTAAAACTCGAAATTATAACTTTTATTCTTGTAATTATGACTTTAAAGTCTAAATTATGATTGTAAAAGTCGTAATTATGACTTTTATTCTCATAATTATGACTTTAAAACCTGAAATTATGATTTTTATTCCCATAATTATGGCTTTAAAACTTTTAATTATGACTTTTATTCTCATAATTATGACTTTAAATTTCCAAATTATGACTTCCTGTTGGGCTTTTATTTTTTCTTTCATGACGGAAATGGTCTTCCACAGAAAATCAAGTTTCCAAGGAATAATGAAAAAAAAAATCCGTCAACGAAACTGAAGCTGAGAGATGGTTGATAGCACGTTTTCAGTTAATAGGTTTTTGTGAATAATCTTGTTAGGGCAAAATATTCATTTATGTGTAAAGTTGTGTTTATCATTTTTTAAAGATTCAACTGAATAAAAATTACGATAATGTTTATATAAGAGGGTGTCAGTAGAAAAGTTACTAAGTACTAGCTAGCTAGTTAGCAACTTGCTAACTAACTAGAGCTAGCAGGCACTTAAGCTGCATGTGCAATTTTAAAATTGGTTAGTTGCTAAATTTTTTTGTTTTGTTTAAATAAATAAAAAATATTCAGTGTTTGTGGCACTAATAATCCATCCATCCATTATCTTTACCCGCTTATTCCATTTTGGGTCACGGGGGTCGCCGGTGCCCATGTCCAACGATCGCTGTGCGAGGGTCGGGGTACACCCTGGACGGGTCGCAAGTCCATCACAGGGCCACACAGAGACAAACGAGACAAACAACCATTCACTCTCTCACTCACACCTAGGGACAATTTAGAGTTACCAATCAGCCTAACATGCATGTTTTTGGTCTGTGGGAGGAAACCGGAGTACCCGGAGAAAACCCACGCATGCACGGAGAGAACATGCAAACTCCACCCAGAAAGGCCCCTGGACCGGGGTTTGAACCAGGGACCTGCTCGCTGAGAGGCAGCAGCTCTACCAGTTGAGCCACCGTGCTGCCCGTATTAATAATCAAATAGTTTAATTTGTCTCTTTTGTGTTGACACAATCTGACACTTCTTTAGTTTGGGAATTATTTTATATTCTGGAGTTTTTATTTAAAATGATTTAAAACAAAAACATAATGCTGAAAATGGGGAGAAAATGAAACTATCACCTTAAAAAAAAGACTGAAAAACTATCAAGACCATTTCAAAGCATTACAAGAAAATCTGGGTCCTTTGATACAAAATATAAGACTGCTAAACTCATACAAAATATTTACCAACATAAAGTCCAAATCCTGTCCCTTTTCTTTTTCCGTCCAGCTGAAAATGGGGACTACTGGCGCCTCCTCCCCCCTGGCATCCACATCGTTACTGCTTCAGCCCTCGGATACACCAGGGCCACAAAGAAGGTCCACTTGCTTCCTCTTATGCAGAGAGCAGGCCGGGTGGACTTCACGTTGCAGAAAGTTCCTCTGGAGTCTAACGTGCGTGAAGATGTAAACAGATTCCCGTCCATGGATGCCTACAAGCATTTTGACCCGTTAAACCTGTATGTGCAGTACACCAAGATATCTGAGCTGAACCAGAACCGTGAGGAGCGAGCGGAGAAGCCCTGGTGGTGGAACTACTTTGTCTCGGTGGGAGGCCAGGCCCCCATCTGGCTGCTCAAACACTATTAGAGCTTTAATACGATGAGTGCAACGTGAAATTTTCGATGGCACAAACCTGAAAGTGCCCGTTGTCGTTCACGTTTTCACACTTACACAAGCTTACTGTTGAGCGTAATGTAAGCACCTTGTTTTAAATATTCTATATGAAATATGTGTTAATTAAAAAAAACGACAAAAACTTAAAAAATTTCCGGGCATTTCTTTGAAACCATGTGGCCACCAGGGGGCAGGCTGAGAAACAACTGGGCCAAACATTGACACAACACTGTCCAGGAGGGTTTGCTGTTTTGGAACGTCCTCTCTTTATACGCAGGCCTAAGTTCAGTTTAGTTAAAAACCAAAAAAACCCAAATGCGCAACCTCCTTGGGATCGATCAATGATCTATCTATCTATCTATCTATCTATCTATCTATCTATCTATCTATCTATCTATCTACACTACTATCTATCTATACATCTATACATCTATCTGTACATCTATTCATACATAGAACCATATACACACACACACACGCGCGCGCGTGCGCACACACACACCTACCTACCGACCGACTGCAGTGTTTCTTGACAATGTCAGCACTGTCCCCAAAAGTCTTTTTGAGGCTGAACAACAACCCTACAAGATAAAAACATTACAAACAGGTTTTCATTTTATTCCCTTGCAAAACCCTCTTGAGTTTATTTTGAGGAAATTTTATTTGATCTAATTTGCTCTTATTCCACCAGAACTTCTGCTCTCCTGGATTGTCCTGCTATCTTTCTGTGAATCTAAGATCTTTTTCCTCTCATAAATCTTAAAGGGGGCATCAGTGGTCTCTGTCAAACTGCCACGACAGCAACACAAGCATTGAATTTTTTTAAGCGATGGCTCAGCGTCAAGTTCAATTGAGTCTGCTTGTTAGGCAGCAGCGCTTACAGAATCGTACATGTGCAGACAGCTCCTCCAGAGGGTGGTAATAAGCCTCTTCCTTTGTCACGGACCATGAAGGAACTCGTGAAGCGGACATAATGTGAGCAGTTGAGCGTATGTGTTTACAAAACCTCACCAATTGTTCCCCTAGATAACCTCCTAACCCAGTGGGGTTAAAGAGATTCCACTTTAAGAGAGTTGGGATCTTTAACTCCATATAAGAGAAATAAAAATCTCATCTACTTGTTTGGGCAAGTTCCTTTCTTGGGCTAAAAAGAGGCTGTGGCCATGTTGACAGAGACTGCAGAACTTACTGAAGGTTTGAAAGTTTCCTTTGTGACGATTTGTCTGTTTGTTGTTTCACCGCGTGACCTAAAACCCAAGACCTGAAAGATCCTAATACGGCTCAAATACAGAACCTTATGGGCATGTTTCTTTGTTTTGATGGAATTTTTGCAATGTTCTAATGCTCTATGGGGTGGCAGTGGTTCAGTGGTTAGAGCAGTCGGAGGTTTGATTCCACCAGTATGCAGTCACATGCTGAAGTGTCCCTGGGCGAAACACCGAACTCTTCGTTGCCTTCGATGTATGAATGTGATCTAAAGCACTGATTAGCATCTATAGAATGATTTACTCAGATTACCTTTGTACAGATATAGTAGAGTACTGAATGTGTGTGGATGGGTGAATGAGGACACAGATTTCATTGTGAAGTGCTTTGAGTAGCCTGGTTGGCCATGAAAGGCCAATTACCATTTAATACTCTTATAAGGGGATTAAAGTTAGAATGTGAACCAAGATGGTATCTGCTTGCCTTGTTTAGTCCAGGTCAAGTTAAAAACCTTCTGCCCCAAGGCCCCTTTCACACTGGATGACAACCCCACTACGATGTAAAAAGGCAAAAATAGCTGGAATCAGAATAAACTTTATTATCATTGTACCAAGATACAGTGAGATTATGTTCGTACAGTCGTCCGAAAAATGGGCAGAGTGCACGTTGCTGCTGCTACAAAAGTGCGGCCTTTTATTCTTTATCAGAATATTTCTTTAGATAGAAAAAGGTAAAAGGCCATGAATATGGATAGTGGTATTACAAAAAAGAGCTCTGCATCTTGTCCTATCAGGACACAATTTGAGACATCAAAAAAAAACTCTACCAGCAAGCACATTTATTAACACAGTTACATATGTGTTTGATGTCAAGATGTTAAGATTTGTCCATGATCACTTTCAGATAGGCTATAGTCCTGATTATGTTGTTCAGCCGGCAGTTCTGATGAGCCTGCACAGAAGTTCTCGGAGGTGGTAGTGGTTGCGATAGACAAAGCTTTTTCCTTAGTTTACCCATGTCCCAGGAGAAATTTGATAGTTGGCCCGCATCGAAGGCCAAACGGGGGAGTCAGGTTCAGATAAGCCACAGTTGTTGATTTTCTTCAGGCAGACTGTTTTTTCTTGTCAGCCTTGAGTTCTGCTGGTACTTTCCAGTTCCAAAATGGCCAAATTTATGGGCATTCCACTGATCCATGCAATGAGCCTTCTTCAAAGTCAACTCCAACATGCTGGTGAGTCCTAGAAGCTGTAGGTGGCCTATGATTCTCATTAATCACTTCCATTTTACGGTTTAGCTCGTAAATCAGCTGATTTTGAGTAATCGTAGCACAAACCAAACCTTCACACAGACTCTGAAGTTTTGCCATGGCCGAAACTGCTGCCAATGTCTTCTTCAAAAGTTGATAACATAGGAACCCGCCAAAGCCAAAGAGCAGAAACCCTGCCATCATGAATCCAATTTGTCGAGCTTTGCAAAGTTTTGGTGAAGTCTCCATGTGTATAGCACAGTGGACTCTGTTTGAGAACTTCATTATGATCTGGAACATGCACTAAACATCTGTAGCAAGGTTGACCAACATAGCTATTGGTGAATCTTAGCTGAAAAATCGTAATGCCCAAGATTTTTTAAAAAGTCATTGAGACAACCAAGTGCAAATGTCACACACATGTATCAGAGAGTGATGGCGATGACTGCTGGCGGTTTCTTCCTGTTAAAGGGGAGCTTTTCCTTTCCACTGTTGCCATTGTGCTTGCTCAGGATGGGAGACTTCAACAAAGTGAAGATTCAACATTCAACCTCCAACTCAAGACCCATCCATCCCACCTGTAGCTTCATTTGACCATTTTGAACCCATCACTCTATCTTCTCTAGAGCAGGTCATATGCAGCTTGAAACCTTCTGGTTCCCCCTTTGATGTAGTCCCCCCTCGACTACTAAAGGAGGCTTTTCCTACTCTAGGTCCGTCCATTCTTGATATAGTAAACAGTAGTTTATCCACTGGCGTAGTGCCAAAATCCTTTAAACATGCTGCTGTCCAGCCTCTCCTAAAAAAACAAACCTTGACCCCTCAGTCGTGTCCAACTTCCGGCCTGTCTCCAGACTCCCATTTGTTTCTAAAATACTGGAGAAAATAGTCGAGTCCCAGTTGAAGTGCTTCCTGGAGGATCACACCATCTTAGAGGTATTCCAATCTGGCTTTAAACCTCTCCATAGCACTGAAACTGCCCTACTGAAGGTTTTTAATGACATCTTCATATCCACAGATACCGGTGATTCTGTGCTGCTTGTCCTGTTGGACCTCACAGCCGCCTTTGACACCATCGACCATGAGATCCTCATTGCTAGGTTGGAGCAGTGGGTGGGCATCCCAGGGTCAGCCCTCAATTGGTTCAGATCTTACCTCACTGACAGATCCTTTTGTGTCTCCATCAAGGATTTTAGTTCTGCAGCGGCAGAGCTTAAATGGGGCGTTCCACAGGGGTCCATCCTGGGTCCTCTCCTATTCTCTTTATACCTGCTGCCACTTGGTGCTATTTTCTGGAAACACAACATACCCTTTCATTTCTATGCTGATGACTGTCAAATTTACTTTCCCCTAAGACACAATGGTACATGCTCTATTCAACCTCTGCTTGACTGCCTGGCTGAGATCAGGGACTGGATGGCTTTAAATTTCTTAAGTTTCAATGAAAAGAAGTCTGAAGTCATGTTATTCCCCTCCCAACGACATGATCACAAACCACTGCATCGACCTCTCCGCTCTAACCCTGTCAGAAAAACAAAGAGTCACTAATCTGGACGTGATAATGGACCCTTCCCTGAAACTTAACAATCATGTAAACATGATTGTTAAATCATGTTTCTTCCAACTGAGGCGGCTGTCTAAACTGAAGCCCATATTGTCCAAAAATAACCTGGAGACAGTAATGCATGCATTCATTACATCTAGGCTTGATTACTGCAATTCACTCATGTTTGGTATCAGTCAGACCTCCATAGCACGACTACAACTTGTCCAGAATGTAGCAGCCCGATTTTTAACCAGTACAGGCAAAAGAGAGCACATTACACCAGTTTTGGCCTCACTGCACTGGCTACCAGTTCACCTTCGAACCCAGTTCAAAATACTACTGTATGTCTACAAATCACTGAACAGTGTTGCCCCCCCCCATCTCTCTGATCTGCTACAGCTGTATGTCCCACCACGCCCCCTGAGGTCAGCGGACCAGTTGCTCCTCACAGTTCCAGGAACTCGTCTTAAGCGCAGAGGTGACAGGGCCTTCTCTGTAGCAGGACCAAGACTTTGGAAAGAGTTACCTCTGTTTGTCAGACAGGACCCCTCCCTCTCGGTTTTCAAGTCCCGTTTAAAAACTCACTACTATTCAGTAGCTTTCAACACCAGATGATCTGTGTTTTGAACCTGTATGCTCCACACTGGTTAGTCATCATTATCTGCATCGTTTTTTATGTCTATATTCTGATTTACTTCATTTTGTATTTTGCTTTGTGTGTTACCTGTTGTTCTGTCTGTACAGCACATTGGTTGGCCTTGTCGCTGTTTTAAGTGCTCTATAAATAAAATGGTATGGTATGGTATGGTATGGTACGGTATGGTATATCTGCTGGCTTCCTTCCTTAGTTAGATAACTTTTACTAATTGGCTTTTATATGTATGTGAATGTTGTTGTACAGTGCCTTGAGACAACTTCTGTTGTGATTTGGCACTATTTAAATAAACAGAATTGAAATTGAATTGATGGGTGAAA